TCGTTTAGAGTGACAAAGACTCAACATGTAATATTGACAGTTTGTAAAGTAAACGCGTATTCTTGTTTCGGTGACAAGTTTTGGAAAATAGCATTATAATTGAATTCGCTTGAATACGCTTATCGAGGAAACGGAGTTTTACGTTTAGTTGACTTTGTTACTTGGCTCATCGATTTTTCCATATTTTTCCCGCGCGATCGTTCGGTAATTTCCGTTCTACAATGAAACTTGAGCGTTCAATATCTTTCTTCAAATATTTTAGGCTGTCGAAATTCGTTTCAGCAAATTGACTGCGTGAAAACGAAACGAATGAAATTCGACGCTTCTATCATGAAAAACGTGCAGCGCCATAAATCCTGAAAATAGAGTTTAGCGATGCATCGCGTCCGCCGTGGGGTTGGAAAAAAAGCACGCGAAAAAGACGAGTGGAGAAATCCAAGTCGCGCGTAAGGAAAACTGAAAACCACAGTGTAACAACATTAAAGTATTAAAGTAGACAAGTTACAAGTTTTAATTAACTGGTAATAAAAAGCCACGAAATTCTTTTTTATGTATGTGTGCGTGTGCGTGTGCGTGTATATTTGTCTCGCCCTGCGAAACTTTGCGTGCCACGTTGCTTGCGTAGACGTGTAAAGGCGCATAGTTGGCGCACAGTTGACGGAATCTCGTAAGGCGAGCTTTTTGCTTTGAAACTTGGCACGTTGCGTTTGAGATATTGTCACTGGATTATTCCTGTTGGCATGCAGGACGTCGATCTAATTGAGCGATTGTTTCAACTATGCGCCACCAGCCAACAAAGGTAAAATATTCTCTTGCGCGAATATTTCCACGCAGGCACTACGTTTGAAATTTTGAGAGGCTATGCTATTCTATTGTTACGGTCGACGTATATAAATAAATTAAAAGCAGAACTTCTTTGTGATACCGTTTAGCAAGAAATTTAATTTTTAATCATGAAAAACGAAAAGTTTTAACCGGGGATTAATGAGAATTAGGCAAAGCTTACTTTGATTTTCAAAATCAAAACATTTTGAAAAGAAAATCAACCAGCTTGAGAGTCAATATATTTGTACTAGGGAAAAATTTTCGTATACCTATGCATAAAACCTCGAGCTAATGCGTCATAGACGGAATTGTAATATGGAAATTCGAGCTTTCCAGAGAGAGGTAAAATTGCACTTCGATAATACAATTAACACCCTCGGATGTATGAGAATCAAGTCAGGATTTATGGCTGTTCGTTATAAAAACTAAGACATTTACTTTTATGACCTATTTCTATAACTCACGTTATGAAATAACATTTCTGCAATATGAAAAAAGATCTATAAAATCATATTAAGTCGTGTAAGTTAACATCAGATCGATAATGAAAAAAAACTGATTATAATTTTATCAATATCACTTAGCAATTTGCAAATAATAAAGAAAATCATATTCTGTCGAGTGATTAATACAAAATTGATTTCAGTACGTATATCTCCAAAATTACAGCTGATTGATAACATCGCCAGTAATGTATTAATCAAGCATCAAATAAAATTTAAATGCTCTGATCTATTAAAAACTATTAATCTGACATTAAAAAGAATGAAAAAGAGAGAAGATGAAAAGGGAAATAATGTAAATGAAACGAGAAAACATTAAGGTGAAAGAGTCGAGATGGAATAGCTTAAAGTTGTACGAGGGAGATATAGAGAAAGCGAAAGAAAAGACTACGTACATCGCTGTTTCGCAATTTTTACGCGCCCGAGGGACGACACGTAGCCTGTTGCATCAACCTCTTTGCACGTACCTGAATTTTGGAAATGCTAATATATAAAAATTATTTTCCTATATTAATAGGAGAATTTCTGAGATTTATTGCTGCATTTTTATCAACACACACATATACACACACACAGTGTGTAAGTAGAAAAAAGGAAAAAAAATTGGTTCGTTTTTTTTCAGAAACGAATTCAGTGAGGAAAAGCAGTGAATAGTCGAGATATTTTCCTTCTCAGTAAACAAACTTTTTGGAAAAAACTTTCGAAAGGTACGATTTATAAGATACGATACGATTTCTTGAAAGAAATTTCACCACAGAATTCAACTTGTTTGATTGCCTAAAGCTTATTTCAATAAATAACGTCGCAATCGTTAAGAAAAATGTTTCTACAAAAAGTAGCTATGCGTCGTTCAATATGAAATGACAGCATATGAAAAAATAATAATGTCAATTAATTCATCGAAGCGCATATTTCACGAGCAATTAAATTGCACTCGCACGTACAGCGTAAACAGCAGTCTTTTTCTGTCCTATTTTACGAGCAAAGGCTCTTCATCAGCATAATTGAAAGAGTCGTATTTGGAATAGTAAACAGAGAGAAAAGGGAGAGAGAAAGTCGTTCTGAGGGTGTGTGACGCACGTGTACGTGTGTGGACAATTTTCCGAGGACGTCAACTGCGAAACGCAGTTAAAAATCCGCTCTAGGCGGATGCACTCGGCTGACTTCACGAGTACCATATCCGTGTCAGCACTCCTTGAGAATATATATATATATATATTTTGAGCATGCAGCCACTGCGTGCGAGGCAAGAGTGCATAGTCTCGTAGAGTCGTCGGAATTTTAAGAAATTCTTTTGCTTTCTTTTCAGGTTCTTCTCTCTTTCTTTGGAATTTTTCAACGCAATAGAAAATCAGAAAAGTCAAGATTATTTGTTCACTTTTAAAAGAAAATTTAAGTTTTTACGCAAATTAAATAACGAATTTCTGATATTCTTCCGACGACTACGTGGTCAATAGTTTCTTCAAGAATATATTATTTGATAGTACGTATTGTAAATATATTATCATGATATTCGCAATTAAGATTTGAACGTATTTATTTTATAAATAATACCTACACAAGAAATTAATTTCTAATAAATTAACCAATGTCACAATTGCTATATATAATATATAAACATTATTTACGTAAATTTTAGTTCGATTTATTATCCAAGTCTATTGTTCGTTTGCCATGCATAAAATAAATGCAATACATAGATGCAATTATCATTCATATAATACTCAGGCTGAGTGTGTTTCAATGACAGGAATTATTATCTTAAAATATCGAAATAGTCATAATCCCCAAACAATGTATAACATAAAAATATGCCTATAAAATCCGTTCATCGGAAACTTCGAAGAAAAAGAATACCAACAACAAACAGAAAAGTTTTTCCTGACGCACTAAAAGCTTTGGAGACAGAATTCGATCTCAGCATGTGTGGCCGCCCAAATCTTGACGTAATTCCGCACGAATCCGCCATAAGTCCAGCTCTCATTCGTCGGAAAACAAAACAAGAATCTATTGGTCTCACATAGATACACACACACGCTGGCGCATATATGGTGAACGCTTTCTTCGAAAGGTCTATCCGCCATAAATGTACACTTGATTTATGGTGGCGCAAGTTTATCTCGGGCGCTAAAAACGCACCATCGTGCACGCACCTTCTCTATCTATTTCCTTCATTTGTCTCTTCTATCTCATTTGTTTTCTTCCAAACAAAATATAAATTGACCTAAGTGCAATTATATTACAAATCGGTCGAGTCGCTTAAATTTCACATCTGAGTATTTCTTGTTAAATGATTGCGTTGGTGCATTTCGCGCTATGGCACCTTCGCGCAGCGATGTACTATTCGACGGGGATAATTTTCTTTGGGGCACCTCGCGCGTCCCAATCCATTTCAAGTGAATGAAACCTAATGATGATGATGAGGATTTATTGTGTATTCGCCGAAAGCCATCCTAATCCATTATTCATCTTCAGCCTTCGATTTCTGATAATCGATAAATCCGAGCGGTAATTAATAATGATGAAGATATGGTCTCTCTCTCTCGCCACTAAATACGTACACCGTAAGCCAACATCATCAGTACGCATGCGCAATGCATCAACACGTGTCCTTTGTGCAAGCGCATGTATACCGCGCGCACCAAAAACAGCTACACGTCGAACAGTCATGCGAATTCGACCCCTTTTCACATGGTAAATCAATATATCGACAAAGTTTTCAGATGCGTAATCGGAATGAAGTAACGTCGTAAAATAACCAGCTCTCTTTACGTACACTATAGTCTGTCTTTCGCGACACAGCTTTGTTTTCTCAAAAAGCTCATTACGTCACGACGAAATTGATGGAGAGCTCAGGGGTTGAAATCGGATCGCCCTCTTTTTTTGGCAGCCTCAATTTTTCAAAGCCGCTCCATGACATGGCTTGGCGTTGCTGCGCGCCTTTCTAAGTCACACGTAATATGTAACATAAGGCCATCCGTGTGATTAAATATCTGGAGCCTTTCTTTAGCCATGCGTTGTTGCACTTGTGAACTATAATTACTATTACGGCTCTCCCTAGAGAAAGCGAAAGGGGAGAGTAAAGAGCGTGGACGCGATGTTTATGTGTGTTACCAGCAGCAGCGGCAGCCGCTCTCCCACCGCCAACTCTACCACCAACCATACCGAACGCGTGCATTGTCGAGGGCATTGACGTCATGCAGCTTCCGGCGCTCTAGCTTTCTCACCCTCTTTCTCCCTCTCGCGGGCGCGATAACGAAGCGTCTTTGCTATGCTCGCCGAGTTTCATCTCAGCTAGGCTACGTCCATTTAATGGATCTATAGGTCTATTTCATATCTAGCTGAAAAAAATCTTATTAAAAATATGCAATGGACCGGGCTTATCGCTTGATTGCTGGGCCTTTTGCATGTCAAGCGACGCTGCAAAGTTAAACGATGGGAATGGATTTTTTATGAGTTAACATCTACGTCAGCTGCTGCGGGCTGCGCGCAGATGGAATGACGTATGCGCACAAATGCATGATGGAACTCGCAGCGGCTTATGCGGTACGGGAGACAATGGTAACGTGCAATATCGACAGACGTACATACATTTACATGAAAAATGCATAAGTTCTACAAGTGCAGCAGATAGTGAGAATTGAAAATTGGTAAACGCCGTGTTGTCCTCACCATGAGACAAAGCACACTGATGTAACCCGTTATGCCTCTGCTCTCCCATTATTTGATACTTCAAATCAACTTGTCACCAAAAGCAAAACTAAACAAATAGTCAACTATGTCTCATGACAAACACACGTGGTTCCAAGAAGGAAGAAGGGGACGAAAAGAGGCGCTTTTCCGTCGATCGTTGAGCAGCGTCTGTGATTATGGTTGCGCGCGCGTGCGAAACCTGCCGGCGGCTTTGACGATGCGCCGTGCCGAACTGGCGGCTGAAAGAGTGAGAGAGAAGCTCCCAAGCGCGCGTTTGCCGCTCAACCGCGTTCTCGTCCCTCTGGCGCACGCGTACTCTCTCTCTCTCTCTCTCTCTCTCTCTCGCTCTCTCGCTCGCTCGCTCGCTCGCTCTTACGTCCTTCGACGACTCTCTTTTGTCTTCTTCTTTTTCACAGCCATCCTCTCACTTCGTCGCCCTCACTTTCCACCATTACTTTTTAATTCATCCAAACTTTGCGAATATACATCGATAGCCAAGATTGCAGATAGACGAATGATCGTGATTGCTAAAGTTGCTTTGTTTGCCTCGCAAAAGCACGGAAAGTTTGATGTGCCCGTTGAAAAGGGGGCTGCGGCTGGTTGTCGGAGTATCATTCGTCTAATATTGGAAATAATGTATGCTACGTTAATGCATTTCGTGAGGCTATTGTAAAGGGTTTCGTAATTGCTAATGCTCTGGAAATGAAAAACAGAAAATGCAATTACAGCAATTCGAACTCGATATTGGCAAATAAAGGTAGACTAAACCGAGTATTTTTACTCATTTTCATTAGAAAATTGCTTTGCCATTGTGCTATATAGTAATATATAATTAGCTTTTTTTCAAGGTATACTATTTTTAAAAGACGATCAGACAAAATTAATGAGAGAGAGTAATCGAGTGAGAAAAAAGACACTATTCCCAGTTGAGAATTCAAAAACAGAGTCATTGTCATGCAAAAAGCAATATCAATGCGATACCTTGATAACCAAGTAATCTCCCTTGAGAGGTCGTTAATTATACTTCGTGGTGACACATCCCGTTGGAAATGCAAAGCCCTCGCTCGCGTGTGTATCGTCCCTTAATTTCCACAGTCCCCATCCTTGTGAGCGACGTGCATGCGACGACCACGCTTTTCTCCCATCTACCGCTACTATGCACATATACAGATGTGTTTGTGTGTGTCTCCTCTTCTTTTTGCTATAACCGCTCAAGAGGGGGAGGAGAACGAGGGAAACTTAATTGCCTTTTATCTTGTTTGTCGATCGCTTGAGAGCCAGTGTAATGGAAGCAGCTACTTGATATTTATTTATTGAAGATGTCGTTGCTCTAACGATTTTGATATCAAGTGCCGATAAAAATTTTTCCCTTGAATTTTCATGAGTTCGTCAGATTTGATTTTTTTTATTGAGTTAATTGGAGCATTTCCGGTTTCGGTTTGACACTAAAATCTATTAGACTTAATTTATCACAAATCCAGTATTATTAATTTTTCATTCGTAATTTTAGAAATCAAAGTATTGCTGCAATTTAAATGAACATTGCCCGAATTAAAACAAACCTTTAATGAATCAACAAAGATCCAATTAAATTGGAAATTCGCATTGTGCCATAAACAGTTATTTATTCGGTTATTGACATTTCGCTTTATAATATTTCAATTACTCGCGAGCACAGCGCACTTGATATGAAAATAGAACATTGCACATCAATAAATACAATGAATGATTAACGCTTAAATATTAATACGTCCAGATGGTGCTATGAAGAATTAAATACCGACGATATCTGCTCGTGAAATGCGCTCGGCGAAGGTGAAACTTACGAGTGGAGTGATGCATAATCGATTTTCAATTCTGCGATTCGACGGTTAGCACTATTGCATTATTTAGCAAAACTTCAGCTCATATGCATTGTGTAATTAACGTTTACGTATGAGCCATAACTCGGCCTTAAATATCTTTATGTTTGGAGAGAGCCGACAATATCTATAACCTTACCTCATTGCGGTCGATCAATTGAAATGTACGTATAATTAATGCTTACACTTGATCATTCATTTTACATACTTTCATTGAGTGCTACGATATTACTGTGAGTTAACTATGTTTAACGATCAATTTGAACATAGTCGCCGGATTGATGAATAGTTAGAGCGAGTATTTCGAATTGTAATCAAATAAATCCAGTTAATTTCGTAAGTAAGGTCATTTGGAATGATAATCTAGTAATTCCCATGATACTTTTATATGGACAATTTGATGATTTTTACGATGAAATACGATTTTAGGATACGTAAAAGCATCTACATGAATTTTTAATATTGATAAAGAGATCCGACGCGACATCAAATGTAAGGTCAACGCTCAGCGATGCTCGCGCGTCTCGTAAATGGATAGCGACACGAAAGCCCCTTGAGACCATTGCTTTTTCTTTCTTTTGCAAGCATTTACCCTCTCTCGCTCTTCCTGTTTTTCAAACTTGTGTCTTTCACTTTGTAGCTTATTTTCTTTTCTAGTCAACGATCACACTTCAGACACATACCGAATCGATGCTTGACACATCTATGCACAAAGATGCTTTCTAGCCCGGGATTCCAGATTTCCACACGCAAATTGCAACCTAATGACCGAGTATGCGGAACACACGAGCCGACTGAGTAAGTGACCAAATTCTCGACGACAGCTCAACGGCAGAACGCGATGATTATGCGGCAACGATTCTCTCGCTCTCTATCCCGCTGATGCTTTTATTGTGCGGATACACCGGCTGACCGTATCCCGACATTTCTACTTGCAGTGTTACAACTGCACATAACTTCGGATAGTTATTCAATGTCATGTTCTTGCTTTTTATTATTTTCATTTACTTTTTTCAAGTATAAATTGTTTTTTATACAGTCAGTTATCGCCATCAACTCTGAAATTTTACTGTAAAATTTTTATACAATCTTTCGAGTTCTACTAAAATTTAAATCTTTTTATTATCGTTTTGCAAAAAATTTTCGTGTCAAGGTTCGTTATAGATCTTACGAAATGATGTAAATTAATAACTTTGTACCTACAAAATTGCTACTTACACACACAGTTAAAATATTCAAGTACAGACTTCTTAAAAATGTACGGTTCGAAAAAAAAAAAACAGTTTGATATAAAAAAAACATTGAGATGACAGTAAATTTAATGAATAAAACAAAATATAGATTTTTTTAACATATAAAAAATATTTGTGATTAGGATAAAAAAAATTTATTCAAAAATTTATTTATTTTATTCAACTGAAGTATTCGAAAATTTAAAAGAATTTCTTTTTTCTAGATTCTAACCATTACTCGTACCACCGTCAAACCAGACTGAAATCAAAAGAAATGCAGCAAAGCGTGAATATACACTTCCGTTAACTAACTCGAGTACATCAAAAGACCAGTCCTATAAATAAGAAGTCGCGTCGCTTCGTCAAAAGCGCGCGCGTTGCACGCGAGCTCTCTCTCTCTCTCTCATTTTCAGTCTCCCTTTCTCTCTCTCTCTATCTCTCTCTCTCTCTCTCTCTCTCTCTCTCTTCTACACCCCAACTATACTAGTGGTAAACATTTGTAAAGGTAGGTCGGGCGCACGCCACTCACTTTGTGGCTTGTCATAAAAAATTCGACGTTTCCGCTCAACGCGACCCAGGCGAGTGCCAATTCGTGCTAACTGCTAGTGAGTTTTTTTGATGGTAGGGGATGGTGCTCGTTTTTACACTTGCGAAAATTCGAGGCTTTGATGATCATCGAAGCAGAGAAGGTAGTCTTCTTTTATTCTATCGCGCTTCAATTATCCAAGTTAAAAAATTGGTAGTTATGAGAATTTTATCGGTACTGTTTTATGTTTGAATTCGAAATGTCATTCAATTAGATGTTTTTAGCCATTGAAAATGAAATTAAATTATTAGAAAAATTAAATAATTAAACATCGATAAAAAGTTAAAAAAAATTGTAGGTTATTTTGATCATTAATTTATAATAGACAATTCGTTGAATGTACGATTAGTTTCCCGAAAATTATATCAACTTGGAAAAAAGTTTTCTTTTATGCATGCCCCTTTTGTTAATCTCGTCCAACTCTGGTTATATTGCTGGTAGTAGTTCTCACTTTCTTTTCATTGTAAAAAAGTCCTTTGTTTAGTTTGTTTTATCTTTTACAAAAAATTATTTCCGTTCTCTGGAAAAATCTCTATTTTGCAAAATGAAGGCATTCTTGCACATATTGTACGATAAAACTTGTCTATATAGTCTACGGGAAAAACGGGGATCAAAAATAGCCCATTCTCATCCCAATATCTCCCAATAGTTTAGATGAGAACGGAGCAAATTGCTTTTTCTCAATCATGTGGCCGAGTTCCAGCTTTCTTTTATTTTGTTGTTCGTCGTGGAGCAAAAAAATTATATACCGTCGTAACTTTTGATAATATCTCTACAAAAAGTTCCCGACCGATTGTGGAATTAAGAGGCTTAATTCCAAAGACATTATTGGAACAGTCAACTTCAGTCAAAATTATTAGTAATAGCATTGCTTTCGTTACAAATATCTCGAAGATAACACATAGTGATCAGGCAGAATAAGATTTGACTGCATGGAAATATTGAAAAAATAGATAAAACCAAAGTTAGTCAGAAACTTTTTTTGCAAACTGTACATGTATACATTCTATTAGAACGGGGAATCCATGAATACCAGTATCTATATTTTTTATTACTTAATTCCTTATTATCTTTAGAATAACAAATCAGTTTTTTTTTAATACTGCAAAAATTAAGCAAGGATATCCAAAACGAGTGAATAAAAGAAAATTCAAAGATAAATATTACATTTCGAAATATCGTTAGTATACTAAATTAGTGGTTATTATACTAACTGCTTTGTAGGTAATGACAAGCGGAACTTACTGTAAAAATATATGGGAGCTCCAAAGAAAAGTTATTTTCAATAGAACGTTCTTATATCGACACACTGACGGTTTTGATCTGTAAAGTCGCGGTAAATACGGTAGAGGCTATGAGCGATGAGAGGCCAAGTTGATTTTTCTACGTCATGTGGAAATTTATACACGTATTATCGGGAATACAAACTCATTATGTATGCGTATTCGTGTGTTTTAAGAGGATTTGAGAAGAGCGTTTTTATGAAATTCAATAGGTATCAGATGAAAGGAAACTTTTTTCGGAAAGAACTTCTAAG